AAAAATTGTAATGAAAAGGAAAATAACAAAAAGAGAGAGAAATAAAGCCCAAGAAAGACAAGTGATGCAAATGAATTGCTCACCACCAACTGACCAACGCCCAGCCTGTCCCTGAGCAGCAGCCCCAATGGCCGACTTACCCCCAGTTTCTATACTGAGCATGATGTTATATGGTATGGAATAGCCCTTTGGCCAGTTTGGGTCAGCTGTCCTGGCTGGGCCCCCTCCCAGCTTCTTGTGTATCTCCAGCCTTCTCATTGGTAGACCATGAGAAGCTGGAAAGTCCTTGACTAGTGTAAGCACTACTTAGCAACAACTAAACCATCAGTGTGTTATCAGCATTATTCTCATACTAAATCCAAAACACAGCACTATGCCAGCTACTAGGAAGGAAATGAACTCTGTCTCAGCCAAAACCAGGACATTGTGCTACCTGTTACAAGAGAGCCAGCTAGTACAGGTGGGTAACATTATTTAAACCTTTCCAACAGTAATATGAAAATATGATTGCTCTAAATGTTGCAGTGCACTTGAACTATTTTGGACAACGGACCAGTAGGAACCTGTGTCTGCCTGTTTGTTCGGGGGAAGGCTGAAACCTGGCCCAGAAGTGCTTCAGATGTTAGAGTGGCTTCGCAGCATGCTGGAATCCTTCCCTTTCCCTATACCCATATGCCCATGTTAGGTTCAGTCACATACTAGATCTCCTGTTCTCCGTTAGTTTGCTAGGGAAGAAGAGGACTGCCACTGATCCAAGGAAAGGAAAAAGAAATGTTCTTTCCCTGATCTTTCCACTGCTGAGTGAAGGCACTATGGGCCAAGTTCTGAGGAAGTGTTTGAAACAGAGGCACTGGGCGACTTAGAACAGGACTGTGCTGGACTGTATAGAGTGGCATGATGTGAAGTGTGAGGCTAATGTTTTTAGTGCATTGGTAATACAGCCATCAGGAATTTCAGTATCAACCTACGATTAGAATCGTAACAACATTGTTAATCAGTACAGAGCTCGTTTTTTCTTTAGTCTTTCACTTAGGTGATCATATGGGGTGGACTGACCTTGGCTGGTTGCCAGGTGCCCACCCGGCCACTCTCGCACTCCCTCTCCTCAACAGGCCAGGGAGAGAAAATAGGTTGAAAAAGCTGCTTTAGGTGGATGAAGAAATAAACACATCATGTTGTAGGCCTGGAGAAGTAGGTAGAAAAGAGTTTACTGGCACTTTTCCGCTGGGACCTGTTCCTTGCAATAGATTCATATTGAAAATACTAGACAGGTTTTTTCTGAATGAATTTGCAATTTTGGGGATAACTTTTTCAATTTCAGGGATAATCTGAATTCTGGCAAATTCACTGATTCCGACTAAGATGTTTCTCCCATCACTCTTTTCTCTATTGAAATATTCAGGAAAGTTTTTCTGACTTCTTAGTAGTTAAGCTTGGGGTCCAGAACTTTCTTCAAAGTCATTACTTGACAGCAGAGGAATGATTACTTATTGAAATATTTGTCTACCAAAAAATGTGTTGTACTCCATAGCAGTTAGTATACGTGGCTGAAATTTTGAAATAGCAGAAGTATTTCTTCTGATTATGCTGAAGCTGTTTGTCAGCTTTTCTCTGAAACTGTGCTGTAGTTTGCATACGGAGTTGAGTCTTTTGGCTAAAAATAACTTTAATAGAATATAAAGGAATTTTAAGAATCAGCATTGGAATAGTGTATTTTGGCTAGCAGGAACTGAGTTTTCTGTACCAGTATTTAATCCTGTTTGCTCATAATGTTTTCACAGTATAACAGAATCATTTTAGAGACACTATCAATATTAGGAGACCATGGACTCACCCAGAGTGCTTCATGCTGCCCAGGAATCTTTAGGCCAATCAAGTGCATTTTATATGAGGAGAAACTAGCAAGCTTAAAGACTTGTTATACACAAGAATTTTATAACAATGAAGGAATTCGGTTAGTAACTGCTTTTCACATTAAGCATACTGTTTTCCCCCTCCACCTAGTAAGACCTAAATTAAATCTGCCTTCAAGACATGTTGATACATTGCATATTTACAAACTTCAGCGGTAATCAATTGAAGGTGGGGAATTTTTCTTTTGTCGTTAATAGGGATGGTATTATTTTCTAACAAGTGAAAGGAACACAGCAACATTCATGCCATTACTAAAGAAGAGAACAGCAGTCGGAAATAAGAGCATGAATAAGATCATTACAAATAAGTAATTTAAGTACAGGTGTTTTCTGTGGTGGTGGTTTAAAAAGAATCTTAAATCATTTGGAAGAAACAGAATCTTTTGTGTTTCAGAATGAGGGGATTTATTACAGATTCATTTCCTAAGGAGAGGGGTTTGTTGGTGGCTAAGCATGCACCAGAATAATATAGTAGTAACTGGTGGAAACATGTGTAAGAGCAAAAATAAAAATCCAGTATAGGGAAAGCAACTCTAATAATAAAAATGCATGTTTCCTTAGTTTTGTGTATTATTTTAACTTTGACTCTTCTTTTCAGCTGAATTCATTCAAAAAGCAAAATATACTTTTAAATCTCCCAATAAGTATCCATCAACAAGAGAAAATATTTTTTTTTTCTTTCATATGTATGCATGCACATTGAGCAGGAAATACTGAAAACAAACCAGATGCATTATCCTCTGTGATAGACAAAAGCAGCTATATTTCTTCCAAGACTAATATTGTCTCAAGTTATTTAATGTTGTCTTCCCCCAGTCTAATTCTCAACCACATCATGATACATAGCGATTTTTTTCTAGTTTTTTTCTTTTTTAATGAGTTTTGCAAGTTCCTCTTATATTTACCTGTAAAATATAATGACAATAATGAGTTTTCTTATCCCTAACTCATTCAAAATTTATCATGAATTCATTTTGAGTGTGTTCTGTGTGGATTAGTAGCTCTGCAGACATTATGCTGTTCTGCCTCTGTACTTCAGTGTATGCTTTGATGCATGTCTGTGTATTAAAGGGACAAAATCCTAAGGTTATGCTTTCCCTGACACTCAGCAGAAGAAAGAGAATTAGTCCGTCACTACTCACTGTGAATGCTGTTGAAGAGTACAGTAGCCATGCTGTCTCTGGCAAAAGAAGTTTGCATTTTCAGGCAGGTTTGTGGCAAGGTTTTTGACACTTTTCTTGTAGGCTTTCATTGAAGAGCAAGGACCGATGACAATAAACTGTAGAAGCAGGAAGAGGTTATTTTGTCTGAGTTCATTCATCATTTGCTTTCCCTGGTTTGTATTTTAAAATAAAATAGTGTAGCAGGGAAAAAAAATAACATTAATTTATTTTAGGTGGACTTGGTGAAATCCATTCTGCCCACATAAAACTCAACTTTTCCAGAGCAGAACAGTGATATATGTAAAATCTGCCATTCCAATGTTTATGGCTGCTATGAAAAAACAAACTAGAATATTTTTATGCCTGGCACTGGATACTATGGGGGCCTCTGGAATTCTTTGGCCCATCTCCACCCTACCATTCTGCTGACAAAGTGATTCGCAATTCTGAGTCTTATGATATACAGAAGTGTCCCCATTCATCAGCACCGCTTGCATTTGTCTACATGGCTACCTCTTTTTCATTGGTTTTCCAAAGACAGCCTAAAGGGACTAAGTTAACGTACAAGATTTATAAAAGAATTGTAGCAGACTGAAATATGTTAATTTGCAGGTAGTTCCATAAGCGGAAGAATCCAAAGACATGACTTCTATTGATTTGAGTGTCACCTTTCCTGTGTACATTGTCTAATGAAGCTTCATCAAATGTTGCAGCTTTTCCCTGAGTGAGGGGAATTAGTACAATTTCTCTTCTCTTCTGAGCTTTCTGTTTTCATTATATTTGTGGGTAATTGATACTTTTACTTAAACTGCCAGTATGTGAAATCAGCAAAAACTAGTATTTTGGAAAACAGTGGGAGACAGTGAGAAAAACTGGGAGACAGCACTCTCCTTTCACTTTAGGAAAGGTTAAAAGTTAGAGTGGGGAAAGAAAAGGCATCTTTAAAACATGATCACACAAGCTAGATCCAGATGTTTTGCTGTAATGAGTTACTGCTCCAGCTGTTACTGGTCCTTGACTGAAACTTAAGTGCTGAAGGTGGTTTGAAAAACCCAATAGACTTTATATTGAAGTGAAGTGGGAGCATCAAAATGTCATCTGTAGCATCTCTATTATATGGAAAATAATCTCCAAGCAAGGGGCAGTAGCAAGTCAAGGCTGGCTATACCTTAAATCATTACAGCTTCTTCATGGTTGCGTGATTGTATCTTTAATTTTTGACTGGCTTCTTCAATGATTTGAGAAATAAAACCAGATAGTTTTCTTTGGGATCCCCCCTCAGTTATTAGTGACAGGAGCATTTCTACATTACTTCTTTTGAAAACCTAGTAAGTCCAGAGTGTTAAGTATTTTAAATATGTTACAAAGCTAGTTGTCCTATTAATTTATCATGCATACAGTAGATCAAAAGTCATACATAGTTCCTAATTTAAAAATTTAAGAAGCAATCACTTCTCTGTATATTTGTTACTCATTCAGATGAGTACATTTTATCTCTCTGAATCATTCCCTGTTATTTTTCTTACTTTCATTTTGAAAATTTTAATCTTTCTTCATGTTTAGTTTTATTCCTCATCTGATAACTGTCTGCCTTGCCGTAACCAGCATGTAATGGTCTTATTTCAGTTTTTACATGATGTTTATTGAGGTTAAACTGTCAAGAAACTCTGACAGTATGGCAGAATTTTCGGTATTACTGAACCCTGTCCTACACACTCTGCTAATGGAAGATATGTAGCAAAACAGACTGAAAAATCAAGCGTTAATGTTTTTTAACAAAAAATCTTCACTAGATGTTTCCAAAGCTTAGAGCTGTTTTTGTGTGGTTTTTTAGGCACTGTAATGCAACAGTACATATATCTAAAGAGTATAATCATTTGGTTTGATAAACTGGATTAAATTTCTGGTATTTTTCCTTACCCAGGGAAATTACCGCTTCATGAAACTTTTACTGGCTCGTAGAGGGAACTGGATGCAGAAGGACTTGGAGGATATGACACCATTACATTTAACTACACGTCACAAAAGCCCAAAATGTTTAGCTTTGTTGCTAAAACATATGGCGCCTGGAGAAGTGGATACCCAGGACAGAAACAAGGTAAAAATACTGCTTATTTTAAGACAACACGTGTAGCAGCTTTAGAAATTGGGGTTACATCCAACAGTTATGTGTGAAAATTTATTTCAGCCATAACAAACTTTTTCTGAGTCTTCAGAGTAGTGGCTAACACTGGTATTATAATGATCACCTTTAGAAATATTAATATTTTCCTACAATAATGATGTAAAAATTCATTGCACTGATTTCATTGATATTTCTGTTGAGAGTATGTAGAATAATAGAGGATTAAAAAACCACTGGTTTTAAGGTCTAAGTCTTTCTTTAACATTGTGGTCTTCGTTAGAATCTGGATAGCATTTGCTTATCTTGCTTTTCTTCCTTGGAAAAACCCTACATTTAGAATCATTTAATGATGAGAGTCACTAGAATGCTTTGTGCAAAAGGCCTTCAAAGTATTTGTCAATACCAAAGTTGAGTTAAAAAAATAAAAAAAAAAGGTAATTCCTTTGGTGCTGAGCTGAATGCAGGTTTGCTGCTGGCAGACATCCTTCCTAACACTAGGTGATTGATTTCGCCCTGCACTGGGGCCACTAAAATGATGGTGATATTGACACAGTTGTCCATAGGTGCTACCTTTTAGAAATGTGTGGTGGGTTAACTGTGCACTGTTCCTTCCATGACTGCATCAGTTAGTGAGAGGGATGTGATGATGACGTTGATTGACGTTCTGGCATGAGACTTTCATTTGAAGCAGAGCACCAGTTAGTCACTGACATTTGTTTTGTGAAACTGCAGACTTCTTCAGGAGAAAATGTAATCTGAACACCTTCAGAGCTTTACGTTACTACGTTCTTAGAATAAAGTCCTTCAGACTAATTTTCTGCATCTGTAGTGACAACTGTTGCTTGAAAGGCCAGAAAATCTCCAGGTGACTTTCCATGTGTATCATATAGTGCATATATCGTCATGAGTTGTCTGATGTGTCTTTGCAAAGTCATGTTCTACCACGTCAATAAAATTACCAGCCTGCTTCAGAAGCACACTGACTTCTAAGAGCCTCAGGAAATAATCTACTGATGTTTGTTGAAAAGGACTATCATTAAAATGTCCAGCCAGAAAAGATGATGGATCTTAGAAGGAAAGTGGTACAGCTCTTTAACAGCTGATTTACTATGACTCTTTATACAGAGAGGGCTGCCAGTCCACAATAATAGCACACTAACCCATTTTAAAAGAAGGAATAGTTATTTAGCATATAGCAACTGTATTTTTTGAGGTGCTCAGATTAGTGTGGTTCTTAAGTTTGAGTGCTTAGCAATGCTTGATTTAAAACTGATGTGAAACGGTTGCCTCCATTAGCATTAATAGTAGGGTATGAGGAGGCATAGGACTTTCACACAGTCCTGACGGACATTCTAGGTAAAGAATTTCTTGTGTTTCCACGTAGGTTTTGAACAAAACAGACGCACCCCTCTTGTTGGAATCTTTAACGCATGTTCCATTTGGGAGATTATCACATTGCCTTTAGTAGACAGATTTCTAGTAATTGCTGCGGACCTGTTAATCTGGGAATATCTAGTTTAAATTTCATGTGCTTGAGCAGTTTGTATCCTGAAATCTGAAAGAGACTTCTTTCAAAGAATCCGGAGTTATGAATGTTCCCTAAGCCCGATCTTTTCCCCAAGGATATAGTAACAAAAAGTGAGACACCATGAATGTAGATAGCAAAACGAAGACCAAAAAACAATTATGTAACTACCATTGGCAAGGTAGGCATGGTATCAAATACAACTGGAACTGTTACTCATGATGGAGGCTTTTTAAGCATTGAGCAGGAAGGTTGTCTTCTTACAATTTGTAAGTGATCCTGAAACTGGTGTGAAAAATCTCCCCACCAGGCACTAATCTACCACTGATTCAAATGTAAGTGCCCTGATCAAGTAAATTGGTTTAGTGGTGGACTTGGTAGTGTTAGGTTAATGGTTGGACTGGATGATCTTAAAGGTCTTTTCCAACCTAAATGATTCTATGATTCTATGATTCTATTTGAATCAGCTGATAATCAACTTACCAGCTTGGCAAGGCTGGTCTTAATGGAAATCATCATTCCATATCTAATGTAGTGGGTTTTCATTCTACCACAAGAGGACATAGTAAGAGAAGGGGACTGGACTTTCTAGTGGTGTTACTGCTTAAACCCTGAAATCCTTATCTGATTTTATCATCTGGGAAGCAGGATAAGACAGCTGCAAACCCGGTTTCCAACAAATTAATCTTCTGTCCCCTCTGGACAATGGATTTGAACCAGCCTGTGCCCTTGTAATCAGCTGTTTGCCTTCCAGGGTATTCTAACATGTATCATGGAAACCCTGGCTATAATTATAGCAGTCATTCTGAAGAGGTCATGCTGACTTCCTGACCACTTTAATTAATTAACAAAGGTATATTGAAACCAGCCAAAACCTTTTAGGAACCTTGCCTGTTGTTTAGCAAATTTCCAAGGCAGTATTAAAGCATTGCCAGATTTCCCACAAAATGTAGAGTACTTTTATTCCAGTTCATGTCTTGAGTAGTCACAATAGCAAAGATGGAATTCAGGTTGATGAAAGACAGGTCTCAGGGACAGAGTCCAACAAGTTTGACCCTGTTGGGCACATAGCTTACTCGTTTCCCTTACCGCAAATATGTGCATCACGATTGTCAAATAGAATTCCTGAACGTCAGAGAGAACAACTGTTTGTTTATGTCTATTTCTGTGTAAGCAACTGGCTGAAAAGCAGGTTGTAGGTGAGAGAAGCCAGTAAACAAAGACTACATTGGCCTCTTGGTAATGAAAAGTTTTTGCTTTCATTGCGTCTGTCAGTTCCTAGGGATGCTGGTCAGCTCCACTTAAGAAATAACATTTAACTTATTACAAATTTCTACTGCTAGAAGTTTTTCAATTCAATCCTGACAAGCTGTGATGGTTTGAACATGCTTTATGGTGTTAGTCTGTATGTTGTTGTACGTGGTGTCAGTTATCAGACCTTTCTTTGCAACCCCTCCAGTTATGTTTTAGAATGAGCTCTTTTTCAGTGAACTACCAAGTACACAAAAAGGTTGCACTATCATATTATGTTACCATGGTACTAAACTAACAGCTTAAAGCAGAAACACAAAAAATAGGCTCCTTTTTGCCTTCCTCCTTTAGAGAGACATTAATTATATGATTGTGAACTCAAACGTTCTTTCTCACTATTCAAGGGTGCTAATCCGGGTTATGATAGGCTTATACACAAACGTCCTGCAGCAGTTATTTCTCTCCTTTTTCAAATCAAAGTGCCATGTAGTATTTTGCTGGGGTGGGGGTGGGAGGAAGGGAGATGGGGAAATAAAATTCATTCCGTGTTTTACAAACCTCTATGACTTGGCAGTCGGAGAGATGTGTCTGATCAGTAAAGTACTTGTTAATATACCAATGGTTTACTGTTTAAAAAACCCACGTGTTGATTTGCTTTATATAGTTATGAACATTTGTAATGCCTATAAAAGCCACTGGCAGTCAGGAATTTGCAATAGGAGCATGGATTGCCTTTTGACATTTTATTGGACTGCCATGGGTCAGTGGACATTAGATTCAGTAATACTCAACCTCTAGAATTCCACGTGACCTAGGACAGTGTAGAAAGTCAAAACCTTTGCTCAAGATGGATCCAGGTCCGGTGTCAGTATTCAGTACCATCTTCCCCTAGTGGAAAGTAATCTTGTTATATGCTTCTCTATCAATTTGTTTTATTGCAAGAGATTTCCAAATTTAAGAGGGACCAGACTAATCACTGCAGTGTGTAGTGCAGCTCTGGTGCTGAGGCCTGCTTCAGATGATCATTCTAACTTGGACATGATTGCGCTCACATATTTTCTCCAGGTCTGAAATTGCTGCACCCGATGGCATTGTGCTGTTGGCTGGCTAAGTAGCAGGGACAGTATTCTCCTGCCATAGTCCAAGAAATCCACATACAAAGCAATTAATCTTCTATGAGAAATACTTATATTCCAAGCATAAGTGCTTCTCAGTGTGGGTTTCATGTAAGGTAATGTAACTTAGACCTAATTCAGGCCTCAGTAGCAAAGATGTGTGAATATCTACTCTTAAGTAGGTAGATGGGCCTCTTGTTCAATTTTGTTTAAAGCCTGTTTTCCAGTGATTTTGAGTTGTCACCCACCCTAGGTACATTTGCTCCATTTTTCTGTCAGTCCTCTGTTGAAGTATAACAAAAGATTGCTCATTTACCCATTGTTTAAGGCTGGTTTTACCTGTGGTACCTCCCCTCTGCTCAGCAGTGGTGCCACCACAAATGGAATGCTGTGTCTAGTTCTGGGCTCTCCAGTACAGTAAGGGCATAGACATACTGGAGTGAGTCCAGTGGAAAACCACAAAGATAATTAACAGATTGGAGCATATGACATCAAGGAGAAGCTGACAGAGCTGCAAATATTTAGCGTGAAGAAGAGATGGTTCAGGGGTGATCTTACCAATGTGTATAAATACTGGATAGGAGGTAGTAAAGAAGATGGAGCCAGACTCAGAAGAGTGGTCTCCAGTGAACATACAAGAGGCAATGGGAACAAGTTGAAATATAGTAAATTCTGTTTAAACCTCAGAAAATACTTTTTTAATGTGAGGGAGGTCAGACAAGTTGTCCAGAGAGGTTGTGGAGTCTCCATCTGTGGAGGTAACTCAAAATCTGACAGTGTCCTGATCAACCTGTTCTAACTGACCATGCTTTGAGCAGAGGACTAGGTGATTTCTTTCATTCTGTGAAAATATAATTAAATCATATTTCAGGTTCTAACAAACTTTAATTTTCATCTTCTATTCATTTTTCACCATGTTTGTAAAACTTGTGAATATTGTGTTCCAGCAAACTGCATTGCATTGGAGTGCCTACTACAATAACCCAGAGCATGTGAAACTTCTCATAAAACATGATTCAAATATTGGAATCCCTGATATTGAAGGAAAAATCCCACTTCACTGGGCAGCTAACAACAAGGACCCTAGTGCAATTCACACAGTGAAATGTATTCTGGTAAGAAAGTTTATTGTACATAAAACTCTTTCTGTATTTATTACTTTACTCAGATAGAAATATTTTTTGTTCTCTTGAAATTTTTCATTTTAGTCTACTGACTCTTTGAGAATGAAATAATTTGCTTTTTCCAATATCCAGAATTTTTTAAGAAATCATCTTAAATATATTTGCTCTCTTGAAAGGGGTTTCTTCTGAGTTCTGTGAGTGAATATCTTTGCTCTAACTCACAGACTATGTATATTCTCTTAATTAGTTTGATATGTGTAACTATTCATTTTGGGGGGAAGGGAGGAAGGAAGGGGTTGCAAGTTCTCCTAGTTAAAATGGCCAGTCATATTACTCATCTCAATTGCATCTTACACACCGATTTCTTTGTTGTGTGTCTCTTCTTCATTATTTGAAAGTTTCTTTCTAGTTAACTGTACTGAAAATCTATTTTAATTTGGTCTTTCAAGTCAGAATTCTGGGAAATATTTGATCAATTATGAGTCAGCCCACTATCAGTTTACTAAGAGACGTTCCAACTACTTTTCTGTACAGATTTAATAATTTTTCCTTCATGGCAGATTTTCCCTTTCTGCAGTATCTCAGTTCATTTTCTACACAGACAGTTATAATGAGTACAATGAAATCATTTGTTCAGCTTGAATTTTACCTTGATTTTTATTCTGTGGAAATCTCTGGATTTCACTAAAATAGAAAGATACAGAAGTCTCAACTGAATTTTTCTCTCATATTACAACAATCTCTCTGTATCTTTGTCTTTCAAAGGTCTTTCAGAAATAGACACATATTGATTGTAAGCTAACTACAATGGCTGTTTGCCTGATTAGCTTGCAAGTTGAGAACTTACGTGTCGTATATGAAAATTTGCTTTACTTTTCTCCGAATAACATTGATAATCTTACAGTTACTGATACTTTTTTTTTTTACTATGAAAATAGTTTTTGAGACATTTCCACTGTTAAATTAATGTGATTTTATTTCTCTACTACTTCTCTTTATTCAAGATATTTGTAGTTTGGACTCAGTTGTGAAATAGTTTGTCAGAAACAAAATTTTGTCACAAAGTTTTAGCTTTTATATACCACCTACTTTTCTGCCATACTAGAGAAATAAATTGGCTGAAAAGTAGATAAGGATTGCTGTATTCAAATACAGACTTTTTCAAATGTTAGATAGTCAAGGTAGATGTTTTTAAAAGTTGTGGTGGGTTGGCCTTAGCCAACAGCATAACAGCTGCACAGCCAGTCGCTCACTCCCTTCTTGCAAGACTGGGAGAAAATAGAAGGCAGGCAAGAAGACTCATGGATGAATAAAGTGACAGTTGAGTAGGGAATGCAAAAGCTGCATGCAAAAAAGGAAATGTATTCCCTACTTCCCATCAGCAGGCAGATGTTAGCCACTCCCAGGAAAGTGGAAAAAGAGCTTCAGCACACTTAGTGGTTGCTTGGGAAGACAAATGGTGTAGCCATGAGCATCCTCCCTGCCTCCTCCTTTCTCTGAGCTTTTTTTTGCTGAGCGTGATGTTATGTGGTTTGGAATATTGCTCAGGTCAATTCAGGTCACCCGTCCCAGCTGTACCCCCTCCCAGTCTCTTGCCCACCCCCAGCCCACTCATTCCAGGGAACAGGGGAGCAGGACAGGGCAGGGCATGAAAAAGAGAAATCCTTGATGCTGTGCAAGCACTATTCAGTAATAGTCAAAACTATTATTTGTGTTATCAACAGTTTTAATCACAAATACAAAGCCCAGCACCATACCTGCTGCTGTGAGAAAAATTAACTCCATCCCAGCCAGATGCACTACAAAAGGTCAAAACTACTTGTCTCCTTACTGAAGGTATTCTCAAAGATTCTCTTTAGGTAATACAGAATCATGATCATGTCTAGTTTTTTTTTCACTCTGACAGTTAAAAGAGTGTATTCTTGATTCCATCTAGGCTTTTTCATGTATCAACTAAATTGTTTATATTCCAAATCGTTATACCTATATATACTTACTGATGGAATAAGATAGTAACATGTTTAAATGAAAAAGTAGTTTAGCTTACAGAATATGCTGTAAAAGTTGATGATACAGAAACATTGTTACTAGGTAATCAATCTGTTGATTGAATCTGTTTTTGAGTATAAATACCTTTTTTTTTGGTGGTGGTGGTGCCTCTGAGTTTAATCCTTTCATAAGATCTTGTCTTCTCTCCAAACTGAAGTGTTTTTCTTACTTGTCTTGGTAGATACCTACCTAGCAGAGCTCACAATCTTCCCCTCCTTTCTTAGCTACTTTTTGCCATATTACCCAGTTCCAGATCTATTACCCAAGAATCACATTTGATTCTCATTCCTCTCTAGGTCTTCACATCCAGGTTAACTTCATAGTTTTTCACAGTCTTGTGAAATATCTTGCATGATATTCTAATGTATGTACCCATACAGTTAAAATTTATGTCATCTTGTGTTGTAACTTACATAATTGCATTTCTAAGTTCACGAGAATATTGTCTTGTAGTGATAGCAGTACAAAAGGCCTACGACTGTGTCACTGTTGTCTCCCCATTTTTTTAATCACATCCAACACAAACCGTTTGTCTTTGCTTTCGTGATAGAGTGCTGTAAGCTGTAAGCTATGTGCCATTGCTCAGATAGCAGTCAGATATTGAGACCTACTGCTGGTCAATCTGCATTGGCAGCCTTTGTTGCCTCCTGACTAAGTTATGAAAAGCAACACTGCTGTTGTTTCTCTCATGTTATCTTTAATACCCTGGAAAATTCCCCAGAAAATTATTTTTCTCTAGTGTCCTACTTAGAATTCTCCAGTGCTGCTTTACAAAAATTTGACGCTGCTGGTTTTATTGAGACCACAGTCTATGATACTGAAAAATACTGTCTTGTTTTTCTGTGCTCTGCCATCTGGATGTGTCCATTTGTTGTCTCCTGTTTATAAATTCATAAAATTAATGGTCATCTTCCTGTTTGATGTTTGTATAGTACTTAGCCCATTGGGATTGTCAAAATAAACAATGAAAAGAGCTCAACTGAATGCTGAAGAAGTAGGTTGGGTTTGCAGGGGTGACAGTTATGCACAAATTGGTTATATCTAATATTGAAATCCATGAAATACAGTGAAAATGGAATTCATGACATATTTAGAAAGTAAACATGTGAATTAGAGGGAAACTCTAATCTGGAGATCCTCTCATGGTCAACTTCCTTTTCCACCTTTCCAGATTCAGCAGTGCTTGGTTACATGAAAAACGTTGGGAAGATTTAAGGAGAAAAGAACAGAATAAGGTTCCATTAATATGATGGAAGCAACTGCTTAGTACTCTCTGTCTATTTTGTATCTCTTCTCTTTATTTATTCTTCATGGTAAGAGACATGACATTTATTTATACAACACTTTCCATTATTGCCTACAATTCCATTGTACTAATTGCTGCAGAAAAATGCGTAGCTTCTGTTTCTTCTGTGTATTGTGCTTAAAATATTAATATAGTATGACAGTTTAATTATAGCTAGTTTTACACCAAACCCATTTAAAATCCAAAGAAATTATACTCTTGAATGTAGGCGGAAAGAGACCTAGAAAATTTAGTTTAAGTGGCTGAAAATTTCAAAACACATGAGTAGTTTTAGACTGGAGTATAAATAGTGTCTTTGTCAATAAAAGATTCTTTACCCTTTTGCAGAAATAACACTTTTGATTATGGGGATATGTTCTGGGGAACATCAGTGACTTTGAGCCAGGAGTTTCAGGAGTCATTGTTGTGTTTTAACCCCAGCTGGCAACTAAGCCCCACACAGCCACTCGTTTATTCCGCCCTGGTGGGATGTGGGAGAGAATCAGAAGAGGAAAAGTGAGAAAACTCATGAGTTGAGATAAAGACAGTTTAATAAGTAAAGCAAAAGCTGCGCACACAAGCAAAGCAAAACAAGGAATTCATTCACTCCTTCCCATCGGCAGGCAGGTGTTCAGCCATCTCCAGGAAAGCAGGGCTCCATCACGCGTAGCGGTTACTTGGGAAGACAAACACCATCACTCCGAATGTCCCCCCCTTCCTTCCTCTTCCCCCAGCTTTATGTGCTGAGCATGAAGCCATATGGTCTGGAATATGCCTTTGGTCAGTTGGGGTCAGCTGTCCCAGCCATGTCCCCTCCCAGCTTCTTGTGCAGCCCCAGCCTACTCACTGGTGGGGTGGTGTGAAAAGCAGAAAAGGCCTTGAGGCTGTGTAAGCACTGCTCAGCAACAACGAAAACATCCCTGTATTATGAAAAGCTGGACATGAGCCAACAATGTGCGCTTGCAGCCCAGAAAGCCAACCGTACCCTGGGCTGCATCAAAAGCGGCTTGGCCAGCAGGTGGAGGTAGGTGATTCTGCCCCTCTACTCTGCTCTGGTGAGACCCCACCTGGAGCACTGCATCCAGCTCTGGGGCCCTCAGCACAAGAAGGACATGGACCTGTTGGAGTGGGTCCAGAGGAGGGCCACCAAAATGATCCGAGGGCTGGAGCACCTCTCCTATGAGGCCAGGATGAGAGAGTTGGGGCTGTTCAGCCTGGAGAAGAGAAGGCTGCGGGGAGACCTTATTGCGGCCTTTCAGTACTTGACTATGATTCTGTGATTCTGTCAACACTGTTTTCAGCACAAATCCAAAACATAGGCCCCTACTAGCTACTATGAAGAAAATTAACTCTATCCCAGCCAAAACCAGCACAGTCATTTATGTAATATGTTGTTGTGCTTTTAGAAGGCTTGAAAATTAGCTTTCCAGATTACGTCAATAAATTATAGGCAAAGTGAAGGATCATTTCTTTTTTTGTTTGTCCATTTTGTTCAAACAGGTTTTCCTCTGGTGAAGTTAGAATTTCAGAAATAACTTCTGTGCATATCATAATTCTTTTTTAGTCATTCTTAAAACTGATTTGCATAAAGATCCCTTCTGAATTTTTGCAGTGGGCTCTATACTCCCCCTGCTGAGCTCTTTGAATAGACAGAAAGTAAGCACATTATCAGTTAGCTTTCTCTTGAGAATTCTTAAAGCTAGGGAAGAACATAAAACTTCACTTTTCACTGTAATGGCTCAGATAAATGCTTTTGAATGCTTATTAAAAGAAGTGTTATTCATGCTTTGATTATTGTGGTTTGTGCGTGTAACAATGTTAACTTTGATTGTATTTTTAGTTAAGAGATTCACATTTATCAGTTTTTTATGTTTTTAATCGATTGCCTGTTATTATACTAGTGGCTAGGTATAGTAATGAACTACAGTATGTTTCAAGTATGTTAATTTTTTTCTTTAGCAAAACATGGCTAACGCTACTGATGTCTAAAACTCTGATGCAGGTTTTTTATATGACAGGCAACTTAATTAGCATTTACATACAGTATGCAAAGTATGTAAATGTTTAACTTTAGAAAACTTACATTAATCAAATATTAGGAGGTTTAAGTTGGCGCTGTTAGGAAGTAAGACAGTAAGAAACAAAGAGTCAGGGCATTGCAGAGTTGAGGTTACTACTGCAGTATTAGTTTAGCCAGGTTGAACTTAGGAAATACAGTTAAATATAACTCTAAACGTATTTATTTTTTATCTATTAAATAGAACATATAGAATGTACAACCTTGGTCAATTAATATTTGGGTAGAAACCATAACTCTGGAATTTCCTGACTTTCTGCTTCTTGGTTTATCGTTCTCAATGTTAGATATTAATTTTCTATGTAATAGTTACTGCATTTCAAATAATGCAAATACAAGTGACTTTATGGCCTATTTGTGTACCTAGTGAAGTCAACAGGAAAAATTGCAATTAGTTTAGTGAGAAAGGGATCAGGAACTTGTTTTAACTGTTAACAAGCTTCACTGATCAAAATCTCTCCCTCCTCTTTCATAAGTATATTGTAAGATATAGTGTGGCTCTGTATTTTCAGGAGGATTGTTTTTCTCAGTTATCATGGTTAAAATCCACTCTCGTGTTGCAAGTTAAAAATCTCAGGACTACATTCCTTTTTTCTTTTGCACAGGTTTCCCATGACTTCAATGAGCTGTTCTGAATTGTTGGAGATAAGAACAGCAGACCTACTCCCTATAGTTTATTTAAGCTCTTGTTTTGACATTCTGCTTCTGCTCTAGATGTTTGGTGTCCTGCATCCTGAGTTTCTCTTGTTTTATTGTTTACCATTTTCTTTAGAGATACCTCTTTTTTTTTAGGGAAGTGAAATTGAAAGTTTGTATTTCATGGGCCTTTATGATATTTGCCATTTGGACATCTCTGCCACACTTAAGATGATGTTCATTTGTACCTGTTCTGTTCTTTTTTCTGAGAAAGTAAGTCATGAAGGGAAATCTGTCTAGAAAAAAGTTGATGAAAATGTGATGAAAAGTCAAGTTATATCTACTAATGCCTATGTTATGTGATCAAATGACTAATCACAATATTTTAAAAGACTTTTTATTCAAAGTTAAGTCTATTGCGAGTAGATGCATTTGTTAGAAGTACTCTCTAACTTACTTCTGTCCTGTCAGCTAGAGACCTTGACATCTCCTCTGGAAATACTCTGATAGTCATGTGGTTTTAAAATGCTAGAAAAGTATTATAGTGACAGCCACAAGGTTAACTTTTGCAAAAAGGGGAGTGTCCTAGGAGAAAAAGATGAAGATATATATGTTGTGTTCAACTTAGAAAATCAAGGAAGATCTCGTTATTTTCACAAGAGCCTGAGTTAGTCTTTTAAAGATCTGTGTAAGGAGCCACTTGCACAACAGACTGGTAAAACTACAGGGTATGTACCAAAAATCAGGTGTCATACAATAATTAAGTAACTATAAAAAAAATTCTATAAGAAGTACTTGAAAATAGCCTATACTGTAACAAAAGTATTTGGTTGTAGAGCTATATTCTACTGAACAAGGGCAGTTTATCTCCTTATTATAAGACAAAAGAAAATCTGTAAAGAGTGTATAGTTTTTCTCTTCAACTTAAATATTTTTTAAATTCTGTGTTTATTTTTCTTAAAGGAAGCTGCACCTACAGAATCTCTGCTTAACTGGCAAGACTACGAAGGACGAACTCCCCTTCATTTTGCTGTTGCTGATGGGAATGTAGCAGTTGTTGATGTCCTGACCTCCTACGAAGGCTGCAATGTGACATCTTATGACAACTTGTTTCGAACTCCCCTTCACTGGGCAGCCTTACTTGGTAAACTGTACAATGCTGAAGTCATTTAATAATTAATTGACTGTGGTGTTTAATCTGTCTCTGCTTTTTATTTAATTCCAGCCTGGCATTATGCTAACTAACCTCTTAGAACAATAATAGTTTCTGCTAGACCAGGATTAGAAGTCTGTGTGTAGACTGGGGTTTTTTAGCTTCAGATTCTGTAAAGCACTGTAAAATGCATTACTTCAGCAGGCTCTGTATGCTCATGGTTTAAGAACAGTTAGAGTATATTGAGATGTTTTTGCATATGTAGCTTTGTTCATAGGTAAAAAGAACCCTGGTACTCTAGAGCGGTGGTGTCCAAAGTGGGGTGCACACACCCCAGCGTGTATGCAAGAAAATATCAGAATTTGTATTTATTTTTTATCTGAAAAAATAAGAAAACTTTACTGATATTTAATATACAGATTGATGCTAGCACCCTCACTTGGGTAAAGGGCTTAAGCCTTTTGTATTTACTGAGCTGTGCCACGCTAGCGGTCCTTTTCTAGGACAGGGTGGTGTGGGCGTCCCCCTTGGTAATTTAGTTGGGCTCATTACCTGGGGGAGATACCCTTATGTATGTAAGATGGTCATGTAGGGTTTGCGAGGTGCCTGAGGGAAGCGAGTGCTCCACAACACGGAGGGATTGACAGTGGAATCATTACTCACTTGTTCACTTTCAGCTTATTGCGATGTATTGCAGTTTACATGTGCAATTTAAGTGGAGTTATGGATATATTACCTAGTTTTTATTAAACTACCCCTCACAAAATAGCAAGTGACTTAAAAAGATTCCCGCAAAGAAACTGCAGATAATCTGATAATGCCAGTGCAAGTGAACAACAAGAAAATGGCAGAGGTGACACTTCTCTGACTCCTAGTACAAGCTCTTCATCAGATACATTATGACAATCTAATCAAATGTGACAAGAAGTTTTATTCAAATAAAGTTTTTGTCTGTTCACATTGCTACCCTGAGACTCAGATGCTCTGTAAATTATGACCTTGCATATGTGAATTCTGCGTGGTTTGGTTTTACAGGTTACAAAACTGGATCTTTGCAAAACAGGTAAAAATCTGATTAAATATAAATAGTCTAAATACAGGGAAATGCAACTTATAACATGACTGGCACAAAAATAATATGATTTAGAAAATTGACCTTCTATTTCCCATTCTCCTATGTGCAGGAGGGAAAAATAAATGCCAGGTACCAGATAAAAAGAGAATCTTCAAACACTCTCTCTCTCCTTTTAACAGGCTTCATCCCTATGACCCTCTGGGACACTGCAGGCACAGAATGCCAATAACAGAATCATATTGCTCACTGGAGCGAGTTACTGCAACTCCAGTGACAATATACATGTAGTTTGATTAAGTTTATTTAAAAAAAAAAAAAAAAAAGAAGAAAGAGGGTTCTCAGATTTGCATTCAAGTAGGGATATTGAATTTTTACAGAGAAAATTGCGAAGCATTCTAAGTGTCATAGGATCGGTCTCCCAAAGAAATAGTCATTATCACTTGGTTCTGTCCAAGAAGCAAAATTTATAGTGTTTTGAAATTGATTGTATTTAAGAGAGAAGCTTTGTCTGTTGGAAAAATGGATTGTCTAATCCATGTGGAGTAAAGGGGGAAGATGTGCCAAGACCTCCAGAGTCCTTTGTGAACTTGATGAGGTCTCTAGGTGACATATGCCCATGGGGAACTTCTGATTGGTAAATCATGATATTTAGGGTTCTAAGTTAGATACTGGATGCTGTGTATACATCTCAGGGAGTCTGAAGTGTTAACTAAATGGGTTAACAGTAGGAAGTTTTAAGTAGTGCATGGATACAGCCACAAATACTCTGTTAAAGGTGATGGGTTGCATATGACTGCATCTTAGGGCATTGTTGCTCCTGTCACCTTTTCATTTGTGTAGATCAAGTCTCAGCCAAGTTACATCTCTTCTAAATAAAAGTACTACAGAAATGACAGTTCTTGACCTCAAGAAGTGAGTTTTAACGTTTACATTAATGTCCAAGTGAGATCCATCTTTGCACCAATTTATTTACTGTTGCACCCAATACAAAATTTTTTTTTTCAATTCCCTCAAGCCTTCTTTCTGATAGATAATTTAGGTAGATCTCCTGTCCTGATTACGGAGTTTGGTTACCCTTTTTCTAGTTGTGTGTCCTGAAAGTTCAGGCAACTTTTTTCCCCAGGCTCAGTACTCCTATTTTTTTCCTGCTAGGATTGCACTCAGAACCAACTTCTTCCAGTGCACCTCAATTCACTTCTTATGGTCTTGAGATGGGAAGAGCATAGCAACATTACATTTCTTCTTTTTAGTGTTTTTTTTCTGGTAGGAAGGGACAGAATGTTGTGATATTCTGGGTCTAGGCTTGTCTTAGTGGCTGAAAGGAAAGAGGACCCTTCCTGTACACCCTAAAGTCCCTAGAAAAAAATAATCCCCACATAGCTGTTCATCCTTTTTGACCCAAGACCTCTTGTATCTGATACTTTTGTACATATCAAGTGTGACAGTGCCATGCCACAAAAGAAAGCTTGCCTAGTCCTCCATCTCTTAGGTTTTTAAAAGCTACAGACCACAACTGTTACACAGCTTCATTCTGCAATTGTTGGTGTTTCATTAAAAAAAGTCTACTGCTAGGAGAAAGGTTTACCTACTTTATTTCATTTATTCTAAAGTAATTCAAGTCAACTGTACAAAAGTAACAAGCTGCAAAATTGATTGTTTTCCCCACATGCAAGATACTAGGAGATTTCTCGTGTAAAATCAAGAGTATTTTTATGTGATTTATGCCTTATAGTATCTCTTAAAATACCAAATCATTAAGATATTCTGTGAGCTGCATATGCCTACAAAAGAAAGCATATGAAAGGATCAGTTGACCTTAGCGTCAATATGCAATATTGTGTCTTTGTTTTCCTGTCTGTGAAATGGATATAAAGTTATCGCCCGCCACCCCCCCCCCCAGTGCTGTGATTTTAATCTAAAAACATTCTAATCTGTTTTGATGGGAGGAATTGTGTGTGTCAGTTTGTTGTTTATTGCAGATACCGCAGCTTGTAGTAGACTAGCCTCCAGGCTCTGCTGTACATCTTCAGTTGAAATTTTGATTGAATAAAATAAGTAAAAAATTTACACTTAATTTCTGTAAAACAATATGATGAAACTGTCAATGTTGGTTTAGCCTGCCTTTTAATGTAGATGGACAAATGCTCATCATCATCAGTCTATGCTCACTGTACAGCTTCTGACTGACCTTTCACTCAAATGCAGCATCTCAGCTGAATTATCAGAAGCTTTTTCTGGAAATATTCAACTCATTCATTGCAATGTTAATAACACAGTTGTCTGACCAGCTACTGCTGGTTTCTATGTTTAGGGAAATGTTCTAGTAATTTCTTTCAAAAGAAATAGAAAATCTTTCCACATGTTCCTATTCATAGGGCATTCTGATTTACGGATGCCCCTCAAAAATGGTAGAGTGTGGAACTGCAACACTATTGGGAAGAATGCGCATGCCAGGCTTAATAGTTCAAATATCAAGTCTTATGTTTCTCTTTTATGCTTAGACTATAATAGCTACAATACAAACATACTATTATTTATTGAAGTCTGTCATTTTCTTCTGTTTCTTTGTTTTTTTTTTTTTAATATGTGTTTAACTTTAGGATTCAATACATGTCTGGTTTTATTATATTATTTTTCTCAGGTCATGCACAGATTGTCCATCTCTTATTAGAAAGAAATAAGTTTGGAACTATCCCATCTGATAGTCAAGGTGCAACACCCCTACATTATGCGGCACAGAGCAACTTTGCTGTAAGTAGCACATACCCTAAATGTGAAATAAATATATTTTGCTGAAATACTTGTAACAAAGTGTTGGGGTTGTTTTTAATATCTTATAAACACAGTGTTGTCTGCACAAGCTTAATTCAGAGTTTTCCTATGTTATGTGATATAAAGGTGGTTAATTTCAAACTATTAAAAATAGATTTGAAAAAAAATAAATTGCTGTACAAAGAAAGGCCCTTTGATCCATATGTTTGCATCAGAACACACAGTAGTCATTTAGGTACTTCAGTAGAAGTAGGCACACACTATTTTACAGTGCTTTCACTTTTTAAGGCTCATTATAGCAAAATCTAAGCAGTTATAAAGTATGTAGGGTAACATCACCTGTATGAGTGCACAGCTGCTTCAGTACAGTCAAACCAGCCTTTGCCTTCAAGGAGGTGATTAACTTATGAATATTTGCTGTTATGAATGAGCCATTGTCTCATAAAGCATGGCTAAAGAGTGAGTACCTTTCGTCACATTTCTCCCTGAACACTGTATTTTTAAAAGGCTTTTAAAGGGGTGGTTTGTTGGTTTTTTTTTTTAATTCAGACAACAAAGAAAATTAGTTTCTCAGACAGCCTAATTCTTGTATTTTGGTAGAGTTGGTAATTTTTTTCCAGAGCAAGGTCAGATATGATAGAGTTAGGTATAAAACTCAGCAGTTTAATGATTGCTGGTCATAGATGTTATTACAGAAGTAGTTCTCAGGTACCGGAACTTAAGAAGGCTTTTTGCATGCTGCTCTGTCTCTCATAGTTGAATTACGCCATGTATAGTAAGCTGGGAGCTCCCATCTAAGTTTTCTTCAGTTGTATTATTCATAACCTCCCTTTACAAAAGGGGTTATTTAGCACCTAATTAGTGTAGTTATTTGGCATGTATTGCAGCATTTTCTTAACAGGGATACTAATTTGGGGCTTTCTTGCCTACCAATGTGTTAATTTTCATAAAACAAGTAAAATGTTAATGCCTTTGAGAACCATTCAAGTTAACAAATCCAGAAGTACTATTGAAAGAGGGAACTGGCCAATATATGTTAATACCACAGCTCTCACCTTCTGTTTCCTTGCGAGAGTGAGTTTGGGGGTTTTGGTGGGGTTTTTTGGAGGTGGTCTTAGTAAGACCATACAGATATTTTTTAAATTGAGACTTTCATTGGAGCATATTTCTGTGTATAATTTACACCTTTTTGGAGAATATTTTATTGATGCTGATTATTGTCCATTACGTAGTATGTACAATTTAGGTCTGACTCACATGCGTAAAATATTTATGTTGTAAAAGTCTTTCTTTCTAGTTTGAGTCAGACTCATGGGAAAGATGGAATGTTTTTGTTTACAATCTGGTGATTATCTCCACATGCTTTTATCTTTTTTATCTTTTCTATATTGATACATTCCTAAAAAATGATTTTTCATACTGGCTTGCTTTCTCTGGGTTTGATTCAGTCGTACAAAACATCTTCATTATGTTGCTGCCTTTTGATCCCGCCAGCCAGCCAAACTGTGATATCATTTGGGTTTTTATGGGGAAATAGAGTAGGTGATGGAGTCAGACATTCTTTTGTAATCTTGTGTACTTACAATGAATGTACTGTTTCCCATTTTACATGAAGAATCAAACAGGAGAGTCTCATTCAGATCTGCAAGCCTCTTTTAGCTAGTGATGTATCCAAGAGCCCCTGTTTATGCATGTCCAAATCATGTCTGGAGCTTCTCTTCTTTACCACTATGGCTGTTTCTGAGCACCACTGTTTGCTTTTTTCTCAATTACATACAAGTCCTTGAGTAATTCCCACCACTGCATTCCATATACATAGTCAAACAACTGAGTGGAGACACATCCATGTTTGTTTTGGCAGTAACATCTATATATTTATGGTTTGAGAGCCACCTTGTTGTTCTGTTTAGTCTGCCCAAGTTTAGATAGGCATGGTATGTTTCTCAGTTAAAATGCGACATTTCTTAGTCCCTAACAAGAAGAAAGTTTGTTCTTTTGTGTCTATTATAAATATTTGCATTGCTTTCAGTTTTACTTAACTCGATATCTTGTCCTTTGCTCTGTTTTTCTGTGGGTTACTTATATGACATTTTTGGTTTTTAAAGACTGAAGAGATTTAGCTGGCACTTAATTTACGTGAAGAATTTGTTCTCTAAGACTAACTTATCCCCACTTATTATAGAAGGAAAAGTTCTAGAAGAAGAGAAGTTACCTAATAGAACCACCAAAATAGGGTGCCTGAAATTTAGATGGCTTATGTATGCTGCAGAATGTCCAAATAAACACTGTTTTTTAAATTTTTGAACTTTATGTGTGAAGGCAGATGCTCTATTAGTATTAATTTTAGTATGTAGAATGCAGGACTAAATCTGGGTGGGGTTTTTTCTGAATTTTTCCAGAGATGTCCAAGACAATGTACTTCCCTTTCACATACTTGTATAGATTGACCTAGTAAATGAAATGTGGATACCCCTGTCATATTTTTGAATATTCAAAAATAGTATTTAGTATTTTTCAGAGTTTCTTGATAACACAGAATAAAATGATCGAGGTTTACTTCTCTCCTTTACTGTTGTTTTTCAGCTTTGTTGTTTTTTGTTTTCTCCACTTTTTTAAGAGATAAAATACATGTCACTTTTCGTGACAAAATACATGTAGAATTAAACTGATTGATACTTCTGTTTTCCGATTTCTTAACCATCCTGTTCTGATTTAATTTAATTTTGTTTTCAAGTTGTGATAACTTCATTTTGAAAAATAAGTCTTATAGCACTATGGGATTTTCTTCCACTTTTCCCCATTAAAAACTCTAGGAAAAAAGAGTGGTTGAAAGAAACATTGCTGTGCTAAAACTTAATGAAAAATAAAATTACTTATTTATGTTTGTAGGATGTGTGCCTTAGTATTGAAAAGGTCCAGCCTTCATACTGCTTTTCACTTTGCAGGATTTCAAGCAGTGCACAGTACTGGTAGGGTGCTGAGTTGCTGGCCTAATGAGTAGCCATTTGTGTTTGAGGTGTAGTGGTGGTCAGTGTGAGTACACAAAGCTATAAACACATGCTGGTGTGTGTGGAAGGCTTAATGTTTCTATTCCTCATTATTTCTGGCTGGACCATTTTACAATAAACTGATAGTTCATATAGGGACCCAAATTCACAAAGCTGTTAGGATCTTAGATGACATTAACATAAGTTAAATGAGAAATTTCCTATTTCTTTAAAGGGATGAAATAATAAGTAGGAGGTAAAAAAAATCCAGACTAATGAATAGGACTTAGGCATTTAAACACCTTTGTGATTATAAGCATTTGATTCCTTATAGCCAAGGAATTCTCATCCTACCCAGAGCAGTGATAGAGCTATTTTGGGGTCACGCAGGGGAAAGGATAAAATAGTGTTAATACTAAAATATAAAAAAAAATAAAATAATGAATCCCACTTTTTTCAGGTTTTATTGGCTAGCCTATCAGTGGCTCTTAAGAGATGTTTACCAGCTGCTAAATACACTTTGCCTTTGTAAGGCATTAGATAGAAAAGGGAAAATCTAACCCTAATTCTTTTTCTAGCGGTCGTGATTTCCCCTCCCTTCCTTTCCTGTGTGGCTTACTAAGAATTTAGCAGCAGGTTAAACAAGTGGACTTGTTTGCTGACAGCTTAACACAAACACAGCATTTGAAGAAATAATTCTTTTTGCTCTGATTTAAATAGAGATTTTAGTGTAACAGTTACAGTGGAAAGCTTGGACTCAGGTGTAAAGATTTTATTCATCTTTTTTGATTTATGGTATTTCAGTAATTAGTAACCTGTTGATATTATTAAATATTAGGAAATATGTCTATGTTGCCCCAGCAGTTGTGGTTTGGGTTTTTTTTTTGAATAGTCAAATTATTAGAGTTTGGCAAACTAAAATATTTGCATTTGTGGTCATATTTAGAATTGGAGCAAAAGATATGTCAGGACAATATTTTGAAGGAACATTATTTTAGTATCATAGTATTACAGTAATGTTTTGATAAGCTGATAATATTTTTCCCATTGCTTTCTTCACAGTGACTGCATTGTCTTTTACTTCCTTATGATGAACACGTGATGTTTGACACTAAAAAGAAAAAAGCATGAAATAAATGACAGTGTTAAACTCATAGTGAAGGATGCACTATGAACATTGACAAGGAAAAGGGCATAGCAGAAAATACAGTGCTCCTATTGAGCTATTACTCTACATAAACATAAAAAGGAAAAATGAAGCTTTGATTTGCTTCATAAACAGCTAAATGAGACACAATAGTTTCTTGTTGTTACAGATTCCTTTTAATGTTAATTTCAATAGTATGTCTTTTCAGGAAACAGTTGAAGTATTTTTGAAACATCCTTCTGTAAAAGATGACTCAGATCTTGAGGGAAGAACGTCCTTCATGTGGGCAGCTGGCAAAGGCAGTGATGATGTCATTAGGACTATGCTGACTTTAAAATTGGATATTGATATCAATATGACAGACAAATACGCTGGCACAGGTAAGATACTTTACAATAAAGAGTCACTGGATGTTTCCAGTTAGTGTGATTTCCACCAAATAAAAAACAGTGTTAGAAGCTATATTAATCTTTTTCTGAATGTGTACCTTAATTGTGAAAATATTTCTGCATTAGCTTAATTATGTGTGTGAGTCACTTCTTTGCCTTATTGTGGCAAGGAAACAAATCTTTTCTGTGCAGATTGGACCAGTTCATTTGAAACATAGCAAGAAGAAGAAATGTACTGCTGTGCTGCTATTTAGTTAGATCTGTTATCCTGGGAAAGGAAGAGCTGTTCTGTATTTGGAGAATAAAATGAAACATAATTGCATAAAAAGCCCTCCCTGAAAATGCCTGTTAAAAAAATTTGTTTATCAGTAAATAATTACTTTGAAACAGTATAGAGCAAACTAACTGGTGAAGTGACTAAGTTATATTCATGAAAATCATAAGTACCATAGTTATTTGTAAAGATAGTGTAATAAAGATTAGAGCTATTGCACTTGTGTTGTCCAAACAAGAGGTTAAACTTGATATCCCCCAAGTTTATCATCCCGTTATCTGCCTGAAGCAAAAGATAGGTTTGCAACACTGTGTTTCAGAATTCAAGCATGCAAGTCATGAAATTAAAAATTTCCTATAGCAACTATGAATTTATCTCCTTTAATGAAAAATTATAAGACTTTGTGGTAGAAATATTGTACCTATATAGCACTTTCAACAAAAATAGAATAAACAGTTCTGAGAGAGAGACAGGTGTTGAAGGGTATATGTATACAACAGTGTTGGAAATACAGGTAAGAGTAGTGGAGCTGTATAGTGTGCTGATGACATCTGAATAAAAAAAGAGGAGAATGTTGGCCTAAATTGGAGGGATTTGGTAGCAGGGGGCTGCAGAGGTAAGCTGTGTGGCAGGAGGTCATGAACTACTCTGTGCCAGTCACAGCCAGGTCACAAATGTAGAAGGTAAGTGCAAAAATGTATACCTATGTCTAGTAAGCAGTAAAAGTAGCCAAGCTGATAGTCAGAGCACACAACTGTGAATAATACAGTAGAGGGCATTTCTCCTGAAAAGAGAACTATGTTATTTTAAACAAACAAGAATGTATATTGCAATGTTTTTTTATATAAATTTTTATATATTTGTTTTAAAGTATGCTTTATATATCTGTTGGCTGCACACACACACAAACTAGCCTAAGCTGCATGCTTAGATTAGGGAGCTTGCAGCGTAGATCTGTCCCACCCAAGAAACAAAGATATGAGTTTAACAGCTTTTCTCTTTTCAGATCACACTTCGAATAACATAAAAATGGTAAATAAATGCAACGTCAGGATTGCATGGTTCAGGATTTGAAAGATAGCATGTATGAATATTACTTTCATAGAAAAAAATTGAGATTTTTTATTTCCTTTGGTGGTATGGTGGGTTTTTACACAAAAAGCCAAATACAGTTACCATAAAATTCTACATAAATATCTAAATTCTTGCTTTCCTTACAAGTTAACACACCAAAAAATCAGTCTTTCTGAGTTATAATAGTTTGTAATTTTTGAGTTTAAGAAACAGTGCAACAAAAAAAAATCTCAGTGTTCATGTTTGATGACTTAGGAGTTAGTCAGTAGGACCCCATGGGAAACTACCCTCAAGGACAAGGGAGCAGAACAGAGCTGACAGATCTTTAAGGATGCTTTCCATAGGGCGCAAGAGCTCTCGATATCCAGGTGTAAGAAATCAGGAAAGGAAGGCAAGAGACTGGCATGGATGAGTTGAGACCTGCTGGTCAAACTAAAGGGCAAGAAGGAAATGCACAGGCAGCAAAAGCAGGGATAGGTATCCTGGGAAGAGTATAGGGATGCTGCATGGTTGTGTAGGGATGGGGTCATGAAGGCTAAGGCACAGCTGGAGCTGAACTTGGCAAGGGATGCAAAGAATAATAAGGGCTTCTACAGGTATGTCAGCCAGAAAAGGAAGGTCAAAGAAAGTGACCAAAGTGCCATCAAGACTGGCAAACTAGTAACAATGGATGAGAAGGCTGAGGTACTCAGCAACTTCTTTGCTGCAGTCTTCACTGGCAGCCTCTCTTCCCACGCCTCTCAAGTGGATGGACCACAAGACAAGGACTTGGGGAGCAAAGTCCCTCCCACTGTAAGGGAAGATCAGGTTCATGACCACCTGAGGAACCTGAATATACATAAATCTATGGGACCTGACGAGATGCATCCCAGAACTCTGAGGGAATTGGCTGATGTAGTTCATTCTAGTAGTAGTTTCAAGCCATTCTTCATGATACTTGAAAAGTCATGGCAGTCAGGTGAAGTCCCTGGTAACTGGAAAAAGGGAAACATTGCACCCATTTTTAAAAAGGGTAGTAAGGAGGATCATGGGAACTAGAAACCTGTCAGCCTCACCTCTGTGCCTGGGAAGAACGTGGAACAGATCCTCCTAGAAGCTATGATAAGGCACATGGAGGACAGAGAGGCGAAGCATGGCTTCACCAAAGGCAAGTCCTGCCTGACCAAACTAATGGCCTTCTACAATGGAGTGACTACATCAGTGGACAGAGGAAGAGCTACCGATGTCTATCTGGACTTCTGTAAGGCCTTCGACACAGTCCCCCACAACATCCTTCTCTCTAAATTGGAGAGATATGCATTTGATGGATGGACTGTTCGGTGGATAAAGAATTTGTTGGATGGTCACATCCAGAGGGTAGTGGTCAACGGCTCAATGTCCAGATGGAGATCAGTGACAAGTGGTATCCCTCAAGGGTCCGTATTGGGACCAGCACTGTTTAGTATCTTCATCAAGGACATAGTCAGAGGGATTGAGTGCACCCTCAGCAAGTTTGCAGACAACACCAAGCTCGGTGGTGCAGTTGACACCTGAGGGACAGGATGCCATCCAGAGAGACCTGGACAAGATCCAGAAGTGGGCCCGTGTGAACCTCATGAGGTTCAACAAGGCCAAGTGCAAGGTCCTGCACCTGAGAAGGGGCAACCCCTGATATCAGTACAGGCTGGGGGATGAAGGGATTGAGAGAAGCCCTGCAGAGAAAGACTTGGGGGTGCTGGTGGATGAAAAGCTGGACATGAGCCGGCAATGTGTGCTTGCAGCCCAGAAAGCCAACCGTATCCTGGGCTGCATCAAAGGAAGCGTGGCCAGCAGGTTGGGGGAGGTGATTCTGCCCCTCTACTCTGCTCTGGTGAGACCCCACCTGGAGCACTGCGTCCAGCTCTGGAGCCCTCAGCACGAGGACATGGACCTGTTGGAACGGGTCCAGAGGAGGGCCAGAAAAATGATCTGAGGGCTGGAGCACCTCTCCTACAAGGCCAGGCTGAGAGAGTTGGGGTTGTTCAGCCTGGAGAAGGAAGGCTCCAGAGAGACCTTATTGCAGCCTTCCAGTACTTAAAGGGGGGTTATGAGAAAGATGGGGACAAACTTTTTAGCAGGGCTTTTTGTGATAGGACAAGGGGTAACGGTTTTAAACTAAAAAAGGGTAGATTTAGACTAGATATAAGGAAGATTTTTTTTTTTTTGCAATGAGGGTAGTGAAACACTGGAACAGGTTGCCCAGAGAGAGGTGGTAGATGCCCCATCCCTGGCAACATTCAAGGTCAGGCTGGATGGGGCTCTGAGCACCCTGATCTAGTTGCAGATGTCCCTGCTCACTGCAGGGGGGTTGGACTAGATGACCTTTAAAGGTCCCTTCCAACCCAAACTATTCTATGATGCTGTGACTTTACAAACTACATACTCTACAATTTTAGTTGTGTTTCATCTTTCATTAGTCTCACCTATATTTGCTCCTTCCTGACAATTCCCTTTTAAATACCTCACAGACCTTAAGGTGCAGTAATGTAGTCACTGTGCAAACCTCCTTACAAATGGTTTTCTTCTTTGCAGACAGTAATCACATACTGTGTTTCTGAAATTACTCAGGTGTGGATTTCATGCTTGAATAATTCGGTGGTTGGGTTTATTATCTTTTGGTCTTAAACCTTTCATAGCGGTGATGTGTAATCACCTTTTAATCTTGATTTTGTTGTAAGGCTTTTAATCCAAGGAAATGAATGGATTTTTCATTTACTTAAAACTGCTGTTGTATAGAACACACTAATAGTCTTAAAGTGGGAAACTATGCTGTTTGTTGCTTGCTGTCGAGCAATCTGAACTTTACCATTGTGCAAGCATGTGCAGTAGCATGGGCTTTATTATAGTGAGCTGTAAACTTAAAAGGAAGCCCACCAGTAAATCACTGTCTGATTTCAGACCTGCGTTTTTTTCCAAAGGTTCTTCATCATTCCCAGGTTTTGGTGAGGGAAAGGTAGCGTTGTATTCTGACGGGAAACTATGCACTAACAGAAAATAGCATACATGCCACCGTGCCTGGGATACAGTTGCTGAGGAGAGTTCAAGGTTGTGTTTTTCTGACTTTTATGTGTGGACTCAGTTAAGCTCAGTTATAATGTTGCATTACCACAGCCTTTTGCATTTACTTAAAAAGAGCAAGCTCTCCATTCAGCTTTGCTAGAACATCCAGACTGTCCGTATTGTGTAGGAGAATGACACCAGGGGAAAGGAATTTCCCTCTTCGCAGAGATCAGCGCTGCAGGAGCATTACAGGGGCAGCTTTATAGCTCTGCCGTCACTCTGTACAATGGGAGAGGGTTCTGTCTGTCGGCTGAACAAAGGGCCTATTGTGACCAGCTGGCTGAAGAATCTCTTCAGTCACCGTGACTCCATCACAGAAAATTTGGCTTACAAGAAAATATTGAGCACAAAGTGCGAAACGAGATGCCTGCGTCAGAATGAGTGATAGAGGGGAAGAACTGGCCAAGCTGACACAGCAGCTCTTTTTCTATTGTATTGTTATACACACCCCATGTGTCATCTGATGGAGTGGTTTACTGCCTTTGGTTTCATAAGAAATGCAGTATAAAAACCAGAACCTAGAGTTTACTGTGAGGTCAGGCCATGAAAACCAGGCCCATCCAAA